GTATTCCATTGGTGGTGGGGCCTGACAAGGAAACGGGTGAGGATATTTTGCAGCACGTCTCAATGGAATGCTCGCGTGAGAAGCTTCTACAGCGGGCGGCTGAAAATATTTTTACCTGGCAGCTCTTCTCGGCGGGACCGTACCTCAGTTTTAGGAAGGAGAGCGTGTCGCTGCTGAAGAAGTTGTATGCGTCGAAAAAGGTAGTTAAACAAGAGCTGGGCCTCCTTGAGGGTCTCTTGGGCCAATTACGCGAACTTTCTGTTAGCACGAAGACGCTCAATCAAGTTATAACCATGACATCAAATAGTATGCATGACGCTGAGGACTCTTCCAAGTGTGTTGTGCCTGTGGACGACCTTCAAGCACATGCGCTTGAATTTCTCAGCGAAATACACGCTTTGGATGATGCTTTGGAGCTGCTTGAGAGGTCGTTAAGGGCTGGTCAGCTGTCTTGCGAGGAGTATGTGCGGCGTGTGTCTGACATTGGGCGGGAACAGTTCGAGGCAAGGTTTCTTTTTGCCCGTGTGGCTGAGGCCGTGAAGTTGTCTTTCTCTCAACCTGAGTAGTTTTTTTTTATTGTTGTTGTTGGATAATGCCAAGCAAAGGTGTCTTGGTGAACTATTCCGAGAATATCTTCTGAGCTCGTTTTTGTTTGGTCTTGTCTTTCCCCCCCCCCCTACCCTTTTTTTTTTTTTTTCGGCTTTGTTGTTTTACTTTGCTTTGGGGCCGAGTGGCTTATCGCTTTTTTTTATATTTGTTTGCTTCCTTGTCCCCCGACTTAGCTGTGTGCGGAGGGGCGACCTTTTTATGGATGGACCGGTGCTGCTGCAAGAGGGTGCGCTGCCGCAGTTTTGCCGTCACTTTGCCTCGAAGTGTGCTCTTCGTGCTATTATTATTGCTCGCACAGTAGCGAAGGGGCCCCGCAAGAGCGGCTCCATCGTGGTAGTAGAAGAGAAGGGAGTGGCGGTGGTTGGCGGCCGCCCTCGCGCTCCCCCGCCCCGCCGATGATGCGGGACGATGCCTCGTCAGACCCCGGGAGCAACGCACTCGTGGAGGCGCGGCGACTGCCGCTGCCACTCCCGCCACCGGAGGGCCACACCACCGCGCTCTTCGTCCCGGAAGAAGCGCCGACGCCGGCAATTGGAACGGCGTTTCCAACGTCCGTGCCCTCCTTGAGAGATAGTGAAAAACAAAAAACGCCCTTGAGCTTCTCTGGTGCCTCGAGCATCACAGTTGCCGGGACAGACACTGCGTGGGGGAGGCAGGAGGTTGCAACGCTGCGGGGGGGCCGTGAGTCGTTGCAGTTGGTGCCGCCGGGGGTGGGGCCAACGGCGGGCACGGATGATGCGTGTGACGCCGCGGTGCCTCCCAAGGTTCACTCCAGCCGGTTAGAGGGAGATGGGTTGGCGACGCGGTCTGCGGTGGCTCCACAAGGGCATGCTTCAGCGCCCAACCCGTTGATCGGCGCATCCCATCCGTGGGGCAGTTGCAGCCAGCTGGGGGAAGCTAGGACGGGTGCGACGCCTCGAACGCAGCTCCCAGAATTGATTCCTTACGTTCCTGACAATGCTCAAGAAGCCCCTCTAGTTTGCCGAGCTGAGACCACTGCCGGCACAGCCTGGCTCTCCTTGACAATACTCGGCATGAGTCCACTGCATCCTAATACCTCTATTGTGCACCCGTTTGTGCGAATCTGGCTGGTGAATGGGGTGACTGGAAAAAACCTCATTGAAACTGGCTGTGGCGTGGCCCCGTTTGTCATGACACACCCCGTTGACCTTCGTCTTCGAGGCACACGGGCGCCGTGGTGGGGGGCTGAGTTTACTTTGCGAGTGGATTCGCGTGTTGTCCGTGACGTTTCCTGCAATGCTGTGTTGCTTTTAGAAGTTCTTGAAGTCGGCACAGAAACCATTCACGGCTTCCCGCTTCAACGCGATGGACTCTACCCAATTTGCTGGGGGTTTCTGAAGCTGCATGACGTGCATGGACGGTTGAATGCAAGGGACCGGTTACAACTGCAGATGTTTCCCTTCCCACAGCGCGCCTCCTTTTTTACGAAGCTGAGGCAGATGCTACCCTCGTTTTGTTTTCCCATCTCCTCCGCTTTTGCAACTGAGGACGTCTGGACGGAGGCGGAGAATGCTCCACCTTCAGGGGCAAACTCATTCCAAGCTGTTTCTGACGCGGCAAACGACTTTTCCTTCGTAAATGTGAGTCCGCCAGAAATATTCTTTGTCTATCGCAACTCCTGCAATCGCAAAGTGCCATATTCTGCCGGAATGCTTATCTCCCTAAAGGAGGTCAAAAAGGATGGCCACCACCCAAGGGAAACACCTATTTTTCCGTACGAGGAATATTTAATGGCCCAGATGTCTGTGCCTGAGGAGTTCCGGCCCAACAGTTTAGTCAGTGTGTCGCTTTCGCGCCCGCGAATGCGACGGGCGCGGGGTGCGTCGCCGAGTTTAATTAATGCAACAGCTCTTTCAAAGTGTTACCTTCGGGAGAATGACGAGCGCGTTGTGCCGCCGACTGCGTTGCTGCAGCGAGTCCAAATTAGGGGAAGAGTTTCATGTGTCGCATTTGCGGGCGGCAGCGCCGTACTAGCAATGGGAGTGTCGGTCGGGCTTGAACACCTGGTTCAGTTGCGGCACTTGTTTATGCCTGAGCTTCCCGTCGTTGGCGTCTTCCGCGGCCACGTCGGACACATTCATCACGTAGCGTTTTCTGACGACAGCAAGCTGCTGTTGTCTTGCTCCTCGGATAAGACGGTGCGGGTGTGGCGCTGTGATGTTCCGTTCTGCCATGTGGAAACAAGCACTGAAGGCTTGAGCAATTGCCTCGGCACACTCCCTCACAGTTTCCCGGTGTACAATGGCATTTTCTACCGGAGACACATTATTACTTGCGGCTACGATCCACGCATGTTTGTCTGGGCCTACGCTAACGACCTTTCAGAGAGGTCTGCGGAACTGGCTCTCGATGCCGCCTCACGTCAGACTTTACGAGAAACTAGGGGCACCCGTCGTGGATCTTCGATGTCAGGCACGGCTTCTGCGTCTTTCTCCGACACGGATCCGGCTTGTGGCCAACTCGTGCATGTGACTTCTGGAGAGGATGGGGCAATTATACGTTCCGTTTGCGCTGCGCAGCGCAATCGCGTCTGGTCTGTGGATGCGTTAGGCAACGTGTTGGTGTGGCGTGTCTCGGACGAGGACACGAACGACGCCCAACGTGTATGGCAGATGTCGGTTAGGCACCGACTTAAATGCAAAGGTGCTATAAGCGTAGAGGCGCATGGGGGTCGCGTGTTGGTGAAGTGCGCCAGCGTTCCGGTGGCTTATTTATTTAATGCCTCAAACTATCAGCTGATGCACGAAGTGGCGCTTCATCAAAGGCCGTATGTGCCGGCCCTCACGCTGCTGCCAGACGGAGAGGCCGTTGTGGCAGCGACGAGCGACGGTAAACTGCTGTCGTGGGAATGCGTTTCTGGCACACTCTGCACAGCAAGAGATGGCTACGGAAGGGTTCAGGTAAACTTTTCGATTGGAGCCATTGTGTGGTCGGGCGACCAGCAGCTGTGCGTCATCCTGGGCACCGAAGCCGGTGTTGGGTACGTCAGTAACGACACCGACGCGCGCATGACATGTGTTGCCGTCGTCGGGACGCCACGGACGGCGGAGAGCGTCATCCTTCGTGGGGATGCGCGTGCCCCGGACTACTTCCGCGCCCGCTTCGGGGGTGAGTTGACAGCCCGGCAAAGGAGTCGAAGGCTTACAAGAGACGACTCTGCCGCCGCCGCTGCGACGACGTCTGGGAACGGAAGATTTTCGCACGTCAGTCTGGCACCGGATGAAAATATGTCAGGAGATAAAGGATCACGCATGGGTCAAATTATCGCCCTGTGGAAAGGCCTTGTTGGCCAGCATCGCCACCTCAAACGGCGAGACGTGGGCGAAGCTCAGTCGCACCCCGCGGAGGTATACATTGTGGATGATAGATGAGAGATGCTTGTCACGGCTGAGGCACCGCTTATGACATTACCATATATATATATATGCCGAAATCATAGAGTGTATTGAGCCTCTGTGCCCCTGTGCTGCTTTACTTGGAGGAGGAGGAGGAGTCTCAATGCTGTTTATTATTTTTATATTTGCGTGTGCGTGTGTGTGTGTGTGTTTGTTTTATTCTGAAGCCGCGCACACGTCTAATGGCTGTGCTGTCTCTCTCAGGGTGCGTTGGGCCGCAGCCCTCTTTCTTCTGTGGAGTGTGTCCTTTCGGGGCCTCCGTATCTGCCTGCTCCTCTGCTCAGCATGCCGCCCAACACCTTTCTTGCGCCTCGGCCGATTTTTTTTGTTTTTATTTATTATTATTATTTTTATTTTTATTTATTTTTTGCCCGCGTGAAGGACTATTACTACACCGATCAGAATATTATGTCTCTGGCTTTTGACGAGTACGGCCGCCCCTTCTTGCTGGTCAAGGAGCAGGCGCAGAAGGAGCGGGTGACGGGGGTGGAGGCGCAGAAGTCCAACATCCTTGCCGCCATAAGTGTGTCCAACGTCCTGAAGACGAGTCTAGGCCCCCGTGGGATGGACAAGATTCTAGTGACGCAGGACAACGACGTTGTCGTCACCAACGATGGCGCGACGATTGTGGATCTCATGGACATTGACAATGAGATTGGCCAGCTCATGGTCGAACTCAGCAAGTCGCAGGACTCTGAAATTGGTGATGGCACGACGGGGGTTGTCTGCTTCGCCGGCGCCCTCCTGGAACAGGCTACGGGGTTGCTTGACAAGGGCATTCACAGCTCCCGCATCTCTGAGGGATTTGAGAAGGGCTGCGAGGTGGCGTGCAAGCGACTTGAGGAGATCGCAGAGACGGTGCCGGTTAGCCGTGAGGAGTACAGTTATCTCTTGCAGACCGCGCGCTCAACACTCAACTCAAAGGTGGTGAACCGCGACCGGGACCGTTTGGCAAAAATCTGCGTGGATGCCGTGCTTTCAGTGGCAGACATGGAGCGTCGTGACGTCAACCTCGATTTGATTAAGGTGGAGGGAAAAGTGGGGGGCTGCCTTGAAGACACCTGCTTAGTCAATGGCATTGTGCTCGACAAGGACTTTTCCCACCCGCAGATGCCGAAGACGTTAAAGAACCCAAAGATTGCCATCTTAACTTGCCCCTTTGAGCCACCGAAACCCAAGACAAAGCACACGGTGCACATCTCCAGCGCAGAACACATGACAGAAATTTACGCACAGGAGCAGGAGTACTTCCGAAAGCAGGTGCAGCTTTGTAAAGACGCAGGAGCCGAACTTGTCATTTGTCAGTGGGGTTTTGACGACGAGGCAAACTATCTTCTTTTCCGCAACGGCCTCCCTGCGGTGCGCTGGGTCGGTGGGGTAGAATTGGAGATGATTGCCATCGCCACCGGCGGACGCATCATTCCCCGCTTTGAAGACATGAGCGCGGCAAAGCTTGGAACGTGCGGAGTTGTGCGTGAAGTGGGCTTTGGCACTACGAAGGATCGCATGATATTCATTGAAGATTGCCCGAACAGCAGGGCGGTAACTATTTTGATTCGTGGTGGCAATAAGATGATGATTGAGGAGGCGAAGCGGTCTCTCCACGATGCCTTGTGCATGGTGCGAAACTTGATTCGCGATAACCGCGTCGTGTACGGTGGAGGTTCAGCGGAGATTGCCGCTTCTTTGGCTGTGCTGAACTACGCCGACTCCATCTCCACCGTGGACCAGTACGCCATTCGGAGGTTTGCTGATGCGCTGGAATATATTCCCGTCAACTTAGCTCTTAACAGCGGTCTTGACCCGATTAGGGCACTTTCCATGGCCCGCATCGCCCATGTGGATGGAAAGAACCCATGCGCCGGCGTGGACTGCATGGACTGCGGCACAATCGACATGAAGAAGCAGGAGGTGTTTGAAACCCTTCAGGGGAAGTGCTCGCAGCTGCGCCTCGCCACACAGGTGGTGAAGATGATTCTAAAGGTCGACGATGTCATCCTCACGCACCCTGAGGAGGAACAGTAGTGGCGGGGCGGGGGCGGGAGAGGCGGGTAGGCACACAAAAAGGCAAACCAGAGGCAGTAAACAGACGCAGGCCCGCATTACGGCAGTAGCGGGGGGTGTTGTGTCGGCTTGTTTTGGGGGCGCAGCAGGAAGCGGGTCAAGCCGCAGTGCGCGACGGCGGCCACAGACTCGTTTCTTCGCGCGCCGCGTTGAGGCGGAGCGTCTTCCGCCGTTTCGTTAAAAGGGGAGGAGAGAGGAAGCAAGAGTAGAAAAGAGAGAGGAAAAAGGAGGAGGAGGGGGAGACAAGGAAAGGCGGGGGAAATGCGAGAAGACATGAAGGAGGCGAAAAAAGGAGCGGGGGGAGCAGCTCCGGCGTGGGCAAAAGCAACGGGAAGAGACGCGGCATCATAACGTTCAGTAAATTCAAGCGTGAAGGATGGCACGAAAGAAAAAGGAAAAAAAAAGGTAAACCGGGCACCCCACTGAAAAAAAAAAGTAGCCAAAGAGAGACGAACAAGTAAAAAAGAAGAAAAAAGAATTATTCTTCGAAAGAATCCCTGAATGGGAAACACATGTGAGGAAACGAAGAACCGGGAACAAAGAAGGAAAATAATAATAATAACACACCCACAGGCACACGCGCACACAAGCAAGAAGAAAAGGAAGGATACACAATTTGCTGGGGAAAATGCGCTGGCGGGGGGACTTCTCTTCCAGCCATCTAATTTTCCTCGGTGGCACAATTTCCCGTGGCATGACGATGAAGATTGGGTTTTGTTCTGGACTCCCCCTAATGTCGTTCTTCTTTTCCCGTGGCTTTTGTTTCATGTAGTGCGCGAGGGGAACTCGTTTGCCGCCGCAGTTGCCAATTCATTGGCCACGCGTCTCTCTCTCTCTCTCACTCTGTCTCTCCTTTTTTATTCATTATTTGTTATTTCCGATGGAATAAACATCATTCCTTTGCACCCTCACCTTCCCTTGCATGTAGAAGAAAAGGAAAACAGAGGGTGTGTGTGTGTGGGGTGGGGTGGGGGGGGGGCAGCCGGTGCTGCATGTATCACCGCGGGGGTCACCAGGCATGGACACCACCACCTAATTTTGCCATGGTTGAGGCAGGCATCTACCGCAGCGCCTATCCCACGCTCGCCAGTGTGCCCTATCTCAAGTATATTGGTATCAAAACCGTTGTCTTGCTCTCCATCGAGCTGCTACCGGCGCCTGTCGCACGTGCTCTTGCAAGCACAGAACATGCAACTCGTGCCGCAGGCAATTCGGAGGGAAGTGCAGCGAGTAAGAGGGATACGGACACCTCCGTTCCCATTCGTGTCGTCCGCACAGCAGATTTGACGGAGTGGATGAATGAATACTCATGGGCAAAAGATGACTTTGCCGAGTCGGACGTCCGTCGCGCTTTGGATTTTGCCCTTCAAACGGATTTCCAACCCGTGCTTTTTACATGTCCTACGGGGGATATTCAAACCAGCCTCGTAATCGGTTGCATGCGGCGATATCAGGGCTGGACTGTTGCAGCGGCTCTTACAGAGTGCGAGTTGTTTGTCAATGTTTCAAAGTGTGTGCGCCCCAGCGTTCTGAGGTTCATCGAGCGCTGGGACCTCAATGAGCAGCCTCTGCAGGAAGCCAGTATTGCCAGTAGGAAGCGTGAGCTTTTCCTACGGGAGTGTCAGCAGGAACAGTTCCAGCGCCGGCGGTGCAAAGAACTACTGCATGTGCCGACCGACTCGGGTTCCGACAACGATGACATCGTGACGCGAAACGGTAACCAGACAGGGAGGAAGGGAAGTCCCCAAAGCTACTCAGCGCCGTGCCGGGAGAACCACTGGGGTAGAGTCTCTTCCTGCAAGGAAAAGGGCGGGGAGGATGCTGCGCTTTCCGCCCCCGCTTCGACGATAACAGTCGCGCTGGCGCCGTGGTACACCGCCGGCTTGGCGCGACGCGCCGCCTATGCGGAGGAAATTCTTGCGGCCCGGGCGAAGAGGGCCTCAACACCGAAGGAGGGCCGCTTGCCGGAGCCCCATGAGCGGTACTTTGGTGTGCGAAACCCACCCGCACTCGATGAGCGCTCGACCTTCACGAAGGAATCGGTTGTTGAAGAAGACGACGACTGAAGAGAGATAAAAAGGGGGGATAAAAAAAAAAGATGATGTGCGTGTGGGAGGGAGAGGGGCGGGATTTACTGCTCGTACTATATGCTGCCTCTACGCATGTGTTCCCTTTCTCTGCCATTTTTTGGACCCCTAATTTTGCTGGGTGTCAAGGCTTCCCCAAAATTATACGTTTGTTACTGCCGGTAGAAATGCGGCGGCGGCTGTGCACCCTCCCTTTTTTTCTCTCTCACTCTCTCTCCCTCTGTTTCCAACACCTTTTTGGTTTATTGTTTATCATTTCGGCGCGTTTTTGTTTCGTGCTGGCTCTGGTGTATCTGCTGCTCTCTTATTCTGCATGCGTCGTCATCTGCTGAAGAACTTCCTCTCATCCCCTCTCTTTTTAAATTATTATTCCTAACTTTTTTTTTTTTGCGCTGGTGGGAGGATTGGGTTTTACTCTTGCACGCTGGTGCAAACTATTCTCTGCAGCGTAGGAGCACCGCTCGCGGCAGTTTCACTCTTGGCGTGGCCAGGAGACGACGAGGATGCGGACGAGAAAGACGCGGGCCCCGCCGGAGGGCTTCCTTCTCGCGTTGCCGCCGCCCAGCATATCGGACGAGATGCAGGTGCAACAGAAGAGTGAGCTTTTCATCAACGTAGATGACTCGAATGTGTCACCGGTAGTCACAATGAACGGGCCACTGTTCCCCTCCCGCTTTTTTCACGTAAATAATACGAACCTTTTTGTGCTGATGGATGGGGTGTCGATGTTTACCGAGGGAAAGACGACACAGAAGGAGGAGGCGGCGCGGCTTCTTGTCGGAGACGAGGCTGAAGCCGCCGCGAAGCTCAGTGCAGCAAAGAAATTGCCCCATCATATTTCGACCAACGCAGTCGACTCGGTCGAAGCAGCTATTCGCGGCATTGAGGGCGATGGCAACGAGGCGTGTCCGTCTTCGACGACGTCTGCCGTCTGCCCTGAAGCCGCACAGTTTCCGTCTTTGGCCGGCCGCGCGGCAGCGACTGTTCCTCCGGCGTCAGCCACTTCAGCGGCAGGAGGGAGTGGGGCAGTAGTGAAGCAGTCAGGGATACCGCAAAGGTATGCGGCGCTTTTTGCGGGGCCGCCCGCTGCACCAGCGGCTAGTCTTAGAAGCAAGTTTTGTCATGGCGATAGTTTTGTTAAACTCCACGGCTTTGTGCCCGGGGTGGCGGTCGCTGGGAGCAGCGTGGGGCCGCCGTCGGCTGTGCGCGTGCCGCCCGAATCCGCAGCGACGAGGTTAGCGGCAGGGGAAACGTCGCTGTCTCCCATCGTTTTTGCGGCGACCACAAATTTCCCGCACAGCCCCACCGACAAAAAAGCATGGCGTAAATCTCACGGCAACGGTAAAAAGGTGCTGAATAAAGCGTTTTCGGCAAATGATATTGGTCGCACAAATCGATCATTGGATTTGGATGCGGTGGTAACACTTGAATTTATCGGCAAGGGCTCGCAAGGAACCGTGCATCGCGTTATGCTTGATGAGAAGCTGTATGCACTTAAGTGTGTCGATGTGAAGGAGGTGACCGAAGCCACGAATGCTGTAGAACAGCAAGGCAGGAAGCGAGGTCTTGTGAAGGAACTTAACATGATTCGCCTTCAGAGGTCGCGGGAGCCTCCAAGACACCTGATGCAGGTCTTCAATGCCGTTGCTACCCTTGACAATGAGCGACAACATTTATATATACTGATGGAGTTAATGAGTTTTAGTATGGAGGATGCGCAGCGGATGCTCTCACGTTTTCCCGTACATGAAATGATGAAAATGACGCAGTCTACCTTTCGTAATTATCTTGCGGGATCCGCCCTGGCTCAGAAGCAAACGGAGAAGCTGTTAAAGCAGCAGTCTGCCTCGTGCATGCATCTAACGGGGCGAAGTTCTTACAACGTGCCAGAAGATTGGGAGTTGAATATTGACCGTCAGACACCCGCACCGGAGATTATCTTGTCTATGTTGGCAGCGGACGTCTTAAAGGGGCTCCAGGAATTACATGAGGCATATTCAATTCTGCATTGCGACCTCAAACCCGCAAACGTGCTCCTGGATTTTAATAAGCGATGTTTCAAGATTGCAGACTTTGGTTGCGGATGTCAGATGAATCCGAATAGTCGACTGGTGAAGAGAACAGGGATTGATTTGGGCTCTAAGCTGTACAAGGCCCCTGAACGTCTGCAGCATGAATTGGCCGGCGCCGAACCCGAGGATGAGATGCCATGGGTGGAATTCACACCCGCCGCCGATGTGTGGTCGCTGGGTGTCATGCTGCTAGAGCTGGGCAACGGTGTCAACCCTTGCTACTCCTTCAAGTCTGACTACTGGAACTTTGTCAACAACTTGAAGCTGTCGCGCATGGTAAAGCCCCTTGCATGGTCCTCCGCGTTCCACGACTTCATTGTGCGCTGCCTGATGCAGGATCCCGCGCAACGGTGGACAGTGCACAGGCTGCAGCAGCACCCTTTCATCCTTAGGTACAGCAGGGTTCCCCGCGAAAAACTAACCTCGTTTATGGAGCGTCTAAAGAATGAGTCGGAAACCTTTCAACTTCGCCAGCAGCGCGAGCTCCTCGAGAAGCAGATACTACTTAGCAGAGGGAAGAAGGCCCATGACCGGTACCAAAACCAAAGCCGGACGCGCTGGAAGGCGTTTACCGGATTTCTTAGCGTGGCCCCGCAGCTTGAGGACACGGAGAAGTTTCCACGCCTGAGTTAACTCTTCAACTTCGTTTTTCTTGTCTCTGCAGAGAAGGGAAGATGAGAGGAAACACGATGAAAATCGCAAAAAAAAGCCAACAATAACAAACAAATGTGTATATTTTTTTTTCTCTGCTTCTTACCCGCCCTACCATTTACAAATTCTATACTAAACATTGTTGTTGTGAGTGTTGCCGTTTTGCTCTACAAACTGGTGGAGGGTGCGTGGGCCCCCTGCAGAATTTGAGCAGGGTAAAAGGTCTTTGTGTGTGTGTGTGTGTGCGTGTGTGCTTCCATCTTTCTTTCTTGCTTTCTTTGGACACGCGTGGTGTGTTTTGTGTGAATTGTATTTTCTTTGTTGTTCGAGCCGTCGTCGTCGTTGTTGACTGCCTTGCACCGAGTGTGGGCCTTGTGCCCGTGCTAGTCAACGTGTTTCTGATGCGGGTCTTTTTCCTTTTCTGTGCTTCTTTCCTCCGCTGATGCACAGGCAGACACGCTCGCCAGAGTCGCTTTGATCCCGTCTTTGCGCGGTTGACGCGGTTGGCGGTGCGGAGCGGAGCGGAGCGGGAGGGCACAACTGCGAGGTGCTGACCGAGGCACAAAAAGTAAGGCGCGGTGAGGTAAATATTAACTTTAAGGGATGACGGCGCCCGCTTCGCGGGGCCCTGTGATGGTCATTGGAACGAGCTCCGCAAGACGGGTGGAGCTTTTGAAAAGCCACTTTGCTGGTGGCGTCCATCGGGAGTTTATTGCGCTTCCTCCCGATATTGATGAGAAGGCGTGGCGCTCCCCTGACCCGTTTGAACTCACAAAACTTATTGCGCGTGCCAAGATGCAGGCTGTTTTGGAGAAGTTAAAGGACGCACATCCTCATCTGAAACACGGTGTGGTGGTGACCTTTGACCAGGTTGTGGTAAAGGATGGCGAAGTTCGTGAGAAGCCCGAGTCCGCGGAGGAGGCCCGGAGATTTTTGAAGTCGTACTCGAACAGCCATGTAGGGACGGTGGCTGCTTACGTCGTCTATTCGCTTGATACAGGGAAGCTGACAGTGGGAGAGAATGAGACAGACACGTATTTCTCCGCTTACGGCGACGATGTCGTTGAGCGTGTCCTTGCGAGGGGAGCCTGCATGCACACGGCTGGCGCCTTTGTTGTGGAAGACGAGGACATCAGCCGTCACGTTGTGCGCAACGTGGGGACATTCGAGGCTGTACAGGGCGTGGATCCTATCGTGCTTGAACGGCTAATGAAACAGGAATAGGTTCTTCTTTTTCCTTTTGTTTTTCCTTTTTAGCTTTTATTTATTCATTCTTTGGGTCTGCGTCCATTTATTGCATTGACGTGCGTGAGAAGTTTGTCTACTGTTTCCGCGTTTTGCTTGCCACTCTTTTGCTGTTTTAATGGGGGTTCCATCTGCCTTCGTGGTTTTATTATCCGCAGAAGTGCCGCTGCGGCTCAACGGGGTATAACAATAATAATAATACCACGACCCACAATTGTCGTGCCACAGGCAGGGCGTACGGAAGGCTTTTTGCGTTGTCTGCAGACTGTGCTTGACGTGGCAGAGGACACCGCGTCCCCTTCGGGCGACATGGAGGACGACTACTTTCGAGACTTGCCAACGAACACGGATGAACTTCAGTTCCGTCTGGCACTAGCTTTGATGAGCCTGAAGAGCGCCTCGGATAGGAGGGATGAAATGTGCGGTGAGAGCTGCAAACTTGAGGCAGAGCTGGCCGCGCTGCAGCAGCGGTTCGCAACGTCACGCGAAGTTTGACTCATGGTGCATCAGTTTGACCAAACGACAATCGAGACACTTCTGCAGGAACGGTTGAGCGCGGGGAGCAAAGGCCGATACACGACGGGAGACGGTGACGGGAGTGGTATAGGCGCCAAGGATGGCAGCGGCAATCTATCTGGCGATCCAACGTACCTGAGCTCGCTGCAGGAGCAGTGTGCAACACTGAAGGAGCTTCTTCACAAGTGCGCCGAGGAGCGGGACAAGTACAAGCTAGAGCTGGCGAGGCTGCGTCCTTCAACAGAAGTCCAAACCGCGTGCACTGGGAAGGGGTCAGGCAGCGCTTCTGTCAGGGAGTTTGCGGCCTCCTCGACGCAGGGGGACCGCACTCTGCAGGACTACGTGAATCAGCTTGAGGCAGAGTTGCGTCGTCAGTCGGAAGCGATGTCTAAAGTAGTGTCGCCGCGGCGTCTCTACAGGCATGTGTGGGAAGCCACAGACGGCGAGAGTGATGCGCAGCTTCAGAAGATACAACTCCCAGAGAGTGAGCTTGAGGCCTTGCGACAGGGAAAGAATGGAGGTGGCGGAGACGCACTGAGGAGTGTTGTAGATGCCCCCGAGAGTGTGGCCCATAAAAGGACGGAACCGTCTTGTGACTCGCCTGGGCCACTTGCACTGGGGAAGACGGCAGGAGATAAGAACGACACTGCCTGTTTGAGCCCGTGTCCCACGCGGTTGAGGACATCCTCAAGCGATTGGAAGAAACTCAGGCTGAGGATCATGCACGGGAAGAGGCGTTGAACGCGATGTACCAAGATGCTCATTCCCTTCGCGAGCGCAATACTCAGTTGGATCAACAACTTGCCGATGTGGGAGAGCAGTTGGATCAGATGCGGCAGGAAATGGTGATCACAAAGGAGCAGTACCGGTTGTAACAGGAGCGTAATAGGGAGCTGCTGGAGCAACTGGAGACGACGCAGCAGCTGCTGCGAAAGCGTGGAAGAGAACTGGCGAACGCCAATGAGGAGGGAAGGCAATTGCGCCCACAAAAAACTAGTTCTACGGCTACTACTGAGATGCTTCACGCGCTTCTGAGCACAGACTCATTGCCGAAAAATTTGGCTTATACAACGCTTGGAAGCGGCGGCGACGGTGACAGAGTGCATGGTGGGAAGCAAGCGAGTGTCTCTGTTACTCAATCGCTCCGGGACGTTGGGATAACTCAGTGGGGCGGCGTCAAGGCTGGCGGCTGGTTTGGTCGCCACTCCATATTTTTTGGCTTCATGCGAGTGCTTGGGCGGCGTCGGCTGTTTATAGGCCTTCTTGTAACTTTATTTATGGTCGTGACGGTGCTCATGCAAACAGGTCTTGGGACGCCTGAGCCAGATGGCGCTTTGTCGAAGTTGCAGGCTGACCTTCTCGCGTGTCAATCCCAGTTGCGGGTGAAGAAGTCCCCTCAGTAAGACTGGGCTGTGGGCTTAGTTGGTCGTGACGAAGCCCCTGGCGATGCCGGCCACCTCACCGTGGTGCCAGGGTCCAGTGCCCCGTCCAGGGGAAGCCAAGAGCCCGCATTATACTCAGTCGCTGTAGACTGGGACGGGCGGCAGGCTATCAGCAACCAGAGAGAGAGCAAGCAGCATCACCGGCGCTTTGGGGTGAATGAAAGAGGAAGAACGCTCTCCTGCACGTGCAAACGTGCTCTCTGCAGTATTTGCCGGCTCCTCTTGCTCATTAGCAGGGATGTCGAGCAGAACCCTGGCCCGTTACTTCGCGGAGCTCAATGAAATGCAGGCGGATTAACTCCGCCGAAGCGTCTCGCATTGGAAAAATTGCTCTACGATAGCAAGGTGGCCTTCTGTCTCCTGTCGGAGACGCATTTTAACGAGGACGAGCATTTGTTTTTTAATATTTTTTGGTTTCCAACATGTGGGGTTGGCCCGCACTTCTCAAGGAGGCGGTGTGTCCATCCTTGTGAGGGACTGTATCGGTGTGAAGCAGCTGGACTGTAAGAAGGGAGCCGCGGAGAGTATAGTCTGTCGCCCTGGTCCTCAGTGACGGGCGCAGCTGACGGTCACG